AATTTAGTTGTATCTGTATGCAAACTCTTAGTTGTTCCAGATGCCAATCAAGTTCAGTACCTTTCTTCATGGGCAGGCATGAATGAGTTGCTCGTTCCTAGATTAATTGAAAAGTCCTCTAATAAATAATTTCAACAGATTTAATACGACAATCTCGACCACTATATCATAATACGAAAGAAGAGCCAAACTTTACGAGAGAAACTACATGTTTGGAAAACGTATTACGTAGATTGATTGACTTGGTATCTTCCAAGACAAGTAAATTTTATTAATGTCGTTCTCAACTATGCCATGGCATCGATCATAACAAATTGCTGAGAAAAAATGCAAACTTGCGGGGTGCAAAAGTTTACAAATATGTAGTTTGGGGACTAAATCGTAATTGGGGAATTAACTAATATGATTGGGGTCGGGGGAGGATATTTAATTTTGATTTTAAAATTTAACTGTAATTTTAAGTTTACATACATTCATGATTCATTCACGAAATCGACACAACAAAGGGAGAGAGAGCATGCTCTCACTATAAATTCGAGACTCTCTTCCGAACTTCCCTCTCCATTATTACCTATTTTCTTTTCTCTCGCAAATCTCTGTGTTTTCTTCTTCATCCCTCCCCTTGGCTTCTTGGGATAATCTGGGTACTGCCTCCTCTCGTCCCCCCGTCTCTTGACCTGTATTGAATTCGTAAGTCAATTCCTTTTCACTTTGTGTTTCTTTTCTTTCTCACCCTTCGTACGATCACAGGCTTCTCAGTTTTCCGGTATTGAGTTAATTCTGCGATCTGGGTACTGCTCAAGTTGTTTCGTTGTAGATCCGATCGTGATCCTTGAGTTGATTTGCTTTCTGGGCTCTTTTCTTATTAGCGTAGTTGGCAATGGAATCTTTGCATGTTACTCGAGCTATAGACAATTTAGGTGTGTTCCTAAATGTAGGAAGTTTCCATCATGGGATTTGCTTCGCCTCCTTTTGGATCCAATTCCCGCATCTCGCTCCAATTGGTCATTGGCATTGGATCTGCCATCGTAAGAATAGATCTTGATGCAATTGCTGTCTCTGCTGCTGTATGATGCTTTCTGGAAAGTTATGTGTTTGATTGCTTTGTGGGATAAAGTCATTGGCTGATTATATGAGGTCCAGTTTTAGCTGTCTTTCTGTTGGTATGATCTTGATTCCCAACAGACTTTAACAGTTTTTTTCAATCTGGGAAAAGGATCAAGATAAAAAAAAACCCGTCGTCTAGGGGCTTTACCAGGACTTGTCCTGAAAATTATGCGATTTCCCTGTGTAGACTTTTCAGATCTAGCTGATATATTCAGTTTGTTCGTTGGTCTTGGTGGGGTTTTTTCTTTTATGTTGGATCTATGCACATTATATGGAGTTTATGTTGTCCCCTGCAATTGCTTACATGGAACTTATAACCTGTACCTTCTGATGGTTGCAGAAGGTCGTCTAGCCATGTCTACATATACTCCAAAGAACATCTTAATTACTGGTGCAGCTGGGTTCATTGCATCCCATGTCTGCAATCGGCTAATCCGCAACTACCCAGATTACAAAATTGTTGTTTTGGACAAGCTCGATTATTGCTCAAACCTGAAGAACCTCCTTCCTTCAAAATCGTCTGCCAACTTCAAGTTTGTCAAGGGGGACATTGGCAGTGCAGACCTTGTCAACTTCCTTCTCATTACCGAATCTATCGACACAATTATGCACTTTGCAGCCCAGACTCATGTCGACAACTCATTCGGCAACAGCTTCGAGTTCACCAAGAACAACATCTATGGCACCCATGTTCTGTTGGAGGCCTGCAAAGTCACCGGTCAGATCAGGAGGTTCATCCACGTGAGCACTGATGAAGTCTATGGGGAGACTGATGAAGATGCTGTTGTAGGAAACCACGAGGCTTCACAGCTTCTTCCCACGAATCCTTACTCTGCAACCAAAGCCGGTGCTGAGATGCTTGTTATGGCTTATGGTAGGTCCTATGGGTTACCTGTGATCACGACTCGTGGGAACAATGTGTATGGCCCTAATCAGTTTCCTGAGAAGTTGATTCCTAAGTTCATCCTCTTGGCTATGAGAGGGATGCCTCTTCCGATCCATGGGGATGGTTCAAATGTGAGGAGCTACTTGTACTGCGAGGATGTAGCTGAGGCTTTTGAGTGCATCCTTCACAAGGGAGAGGTTGGCCATGTGTACAACATTGGGACAAAGAGAGAAAGGAGAGTCAATGATGTTGCCAAAGATATATGCAAGCTTTTTTCTATGAATCCTGAGTCGAGCATCCAGTTTGTGGAGAACAGACCGTTTAATGACCAGAGGTACTTCCTTGATGATGAGAAACTGAAGAACTTGGGTTGGTCTGAAAGAACTATTTGGGAGGAAGGGTTGAAGAAGACTATTGAGTGGTACACTCAAAATCCTGATTGGTGGGGTGATGTCTCGGGTGCCTTGCTTCCTCACCCGAGGATGTTGATGATGCCTGGTGGGAGACACTTTGATGGTTCTGAAGATGGAAAATCTGGTTCTTCTGCCACAGACTCTTCTTCTAATCAGACCAAGATGGTTATTCCAGCTCCTAAGACGGAAACCAATACTGCAGCAGCTTCTTCTAACAAGGCTCCTCTTAAGTTTTTGATCTATGGTAGGACAGGCTGGATTGGTGGTCTCCTTGGGAAATTATGTGAGAAGCAAGGAATTTCATATGAATATGGAAAGGGCCGTCTGGAAGATCGTTCATCTCTTTTGGCAGATATTCTTAATGTTAAACCCACTCATGTATTTAATGCTGCTGGTGTTACTGGTAGACCAAATGTTGATTGGTGTGAATCGCACAAAACGGAGACCATTCGGGCTAATGTTGCTGGTACATTAACGTTAGCTGATGTTTGCAGAGAGCAGAACCTTCTCGTGATAAACTATGCTACAGGCTGTATATTCGAATATGATGCTGCTCACAAGCAAGGCTCTGGGATAGGGTTTAAGGAGGAGGATAAACCCAACTTTACTGGTTCTTTCTACTCAAAGACTAAGGCCATGGTACGTGGTTGTTTTTTCTCCCTGAAATTCCTTTTTTGTTTCATTAATACGCATAGGAAAGTGTTTTTTGAGATTTGGTTTACGAAACCAAATTATTTTCAGCTTGGTAGTAGTTTATTTTTTTGTTGATTATAGTAGTTCCGATTTCTTAGGCCAAAAACCAAACAAATTTTTTGAAACTTAATGGGCCCGTCAGTCATTGGTGGAATGCTAGAGTACTTGTTGAATCAAGTCAACATTATTATCATTGCAGATGTGGAACTTTATTCTCCAACTTCTGCAATTTCATTAAGTTTTTATTTGGGATTTGTTTTCTTGAGGTTTGGATTTCAAGCAATCTCTTCTATTAAAATCAAACGTTGATTAGTTTTCTTTCAAACTCCTTCCCAGGTTGAGGAGCTGTTGAAAGAGTATGAGAACGTGTGCACGCTCAGGGTGAGAATGCCGATATCATCAGACCTAAACAACCCACGAAACTTCATCACGAAGATCTCTCGATACAGCAAAGTGGTCAACATCCCAAACAGCATGACCATTCTGGACGAGCTTCTACCAATCTCCATCGAGATGGCAAAAAGGAACTTGAGGGGGATCTGGAACTTCACAAACCCTGGTGCTGTCAGCCACAATGAGATCCTAGAGATGTACAAGAAGTACATCGACCCTAAGTTCACATGGACCAATTTCACCTTAGAGGAGCAAGCCAAGGTCATAGTTGCACCCCGAAGCAACAATGAGATGGATGCCTCCAAGTTGAAGAAGGAGTTCCCTGAGTTGCTCGGGATCAAGGAGTCCTTGATTAAGTATGTGTTTGAGCCCAACAAGAGATCATAGGGAGCTCCAGCAAAGAAGAATGCAGTTTGCAGACATCTTAGTTTGGTGCAAATAATGGTTGGTGTTGGTGTTGGCGGGTGGCTCAGGGGGGGTTAAAAATGAGTGTTTAGCATCATAGGAGGGTTCTTTATATATCTTTGCTTGCACATTATTCTCTGGAGCTTCAGGTTCATTATTTTTATTCTTCAGCAGCCATTTCCTAGAACTCTGATGGTAATGTGATTCTAGTAGGGGTAAGAGGGCATGCTAGATTGATGATTTATTTTTGTTGTATTCTTTAGCTATAGCATAGTTGAGTGGCTGTGTTTTGGTTTGCTTCTGCGAACTACTATGCAGTTTGTAAGTTGAGTGACTTCTATTTCAACACACTTATGTTTTCTTTCATTTTCCCCCCATGAATTGTTCTTTACGCTTCTGATTCTTTAGCAGTGCATGAATTATAAGCAGGAGTTACTAGTTGGTGCTTCTAAGTTTAGTGTCTTAGATGCTTTCGGCATTTGATGAGTTACAAACCAAGGCTGATGGCTGAATGTGGGAACTTACCTCGGAATAAGTTTTTCCTCAATCCATACCAATACCACTACCATGTGCATCCGTATCAAGTATTTTGTTAAATCTATACTACTAAGGCATATTACTAGAGAAGTGTGCAATAATGCACATATTACTTTCCTTTTTAACATATTCAAAGTACATAAAAGTCAAATAGTCAGGGGACATCATCCAGCCACGATGGTAGTCCACCAATAACCGAACTCCCAGTGAAAGAGCTTGTTTAGCCATAAGATGGGCAGCCATGTTGAACATCGAAGATCAAAAGAACAAGAACAAAAGTCAAAAATAAAAAATGAGTAAGCTATAGGTATCAAATCCAACAAAACCCGTACCACCTCCCTGATTACGCCAAGTCGAGCCATCAAACCAAGCAACTATAGCTGCAGGAGGGGACGTGAGGCAACCTGGAGGACAGGAACCAGGAGAGGCCTGGACGCACATACTAGTTACATTTGCACACTAGTCATCACCGAAGTTAGGATAAATGACAGCGATGACAATAAATGACAGCCATTGAACCAGGAAAATGCAGAAAGGGGAGATTGATGACAATGGTGCATTTAAATCAACTGATTCATACACAATGCTTTAATTCAAATTAACAAACATAGATGATAGAACTTAAAAAATTGTTAGTCAGCCCATTAATCAAGCACTATTGACTAAATGGAAAAGGGCAGTGCCATTACATCTGATATATGGAAGCTTCATTTTCTTTCTGATAATGATATACATTGTATATATCTAGATACAAGCTCCAAATAGAGATCTATATATATATGACTTTTGGAGGGTGCGGAATCTTAACTGCCACTTCTCCAACACTAGAATCTCATCTATATATAATCAACTTATCCAACACTTGGCCTCTACAAAAAGACTTATTCTTGATGGCACTTCAGGACTCTCCGAGTAAATTGGTCTCTTATTCCTTCATTTTTATTCTATCAGAAGACTACTTCATGAAGATGCATCGGCCAGCTTCTTCAGAAAGGAAACGACCTCGTCCGACGATCCAAGCATATACCGCGCGTTAGTTCTTTTTCTCCCAACTGCACAAGAGAAGTAGTTGTCTCCCTTGAGATCGAGAACATTCCACGAGGTCTTCTCCGGAGGTGATGCCCTACTACTACTGCTGCTGCTGCTACGCCCGTTACTGTTGCAGATGTAACTTGAAGCCCACTTTTTTTCTGAACTCGACGAGACAGCAGCCCGCTGATGTGTTTTGTTGCCTTGATGAGATGATGATTTTGATGCTACTGCTTTGCTTGCTGGAAGCTGCTTTGAAGATCTCCTTTCCCCTGGTGTTGATGACTTTGTACTATCGGTTTGCTTGCTCCTCATCACACCTAGGTCATCTGAGGGGAGCTCTGGCTCGAAGAATGTGTATACATCTTCATCCTGCAAGCAAACAATGATGAACAAAGAAGGCGATAGACTCAACAAATAATCAACCTACTACACATATGGGTATCTCTCTATGGCATATGAAAAGCTCTTGAGAATTACCTTCCCCAGAAAATGGCCGACACACAAGACATAGTCGATAGGAGTTGTCATTTGCTTGCTATGAACAATTTCCCCTAAGATACGATCGATTGCCGCACCCTGAATGAAATATGGGGGGAAACATTGAATAAAAACAAGGCCAATGCTCTGTGAATTCACCAACACTAAAAGTTTATGCTTTACCTTTGTCACACCGACAGCTCGAACCTCGACTGATCGACTACCTTGTACGACGTCAACAGATGCATTCGAAATTGGGCCAGTCCAAAGATGCTGCAGCATGTCCCTTGCTTGAAGTCGCCCGAATTCTACGTCTGTTGCATAAAGATGAGAATCACCATATACAACTAGCAGCAAATACTTGCAGGCACGCATTCCTTGGGAGGACAAGTTACCTGCATATTTGTAGTTCCAGACAAGCGATGTGTCACGGAGTTCAATATGTGATCTGGGTGTTCGCTCCGTGAAGTACTCAAACACTTGCTGAAAACAAGTTCAAGGTGTCAAACATTTCTTTAAACTCGGAGTTCCAAAATGGACAAAGAAACAAATCCCTAATTCACCTTTACACTGTCGACCCACTCCATGTTTAGGTGCTCCGGCATGGTTGTCATCCACTCCCCCTTTGTAAGACGTAAGAACATCCCGTGTTCTGCTGCAAGCCACATATCATAGTCCCCGAAATTCTGTAGGAATGCGAAACACATTCGACGCGGTTAGACAATGAATAATTGTTAGTTACCCCAAAGTGTGCGACCCATTTGTGATTTGACCCAATAAAGAGGAGTGTAGGCATTCTCACCTCATCTAACAAACTTGTGTCACTGCCACTGAGGACGACAATTGTCGTCTTTGGATCATTGCAAAGGGTCGTCAGAGGTCCCTTCAAATCTGGGCGCAGTTTAAGCTCCATTTCCTTTATTTGATCACCTCTTCTTCCTGGAGTATCTACTTGCTCTGTCAATGTAGCATTGAATCCCTGTGAAATTAATTGACATGATTGAGCCAATCACAAACACCACATACTTCTTATATTCTAGACTCCATCACCAATGTTCTATAACACGAGGGTAGTAAGCATTTGAAAATGAACTATAGAGAAGTGGGTCCCATGAAACAAAGTGGTGCATTCTTCAATCTGGGATATGCTCAGTTATGTCAGTATTCTCGAAAAAGTTTTAATAAGTTTCTTGAGGAAGTGATGTATGTGAAATGGATAAATTGAGCCCAATGATAATAATGGCTTTAGGGTTGAAAGCATACCAGTATGAGCAATCGATTGCAGGAGTTGAGATAACATTTAATTGCATCTCCCTGTGGAAGCCCGGGCGGGACTTGCCTCGTCCTTAGTTGTGCCTCGACGACCGTATCATTGAGCTCACTGTCGAGAAAAAAAATACAGCAATTTAACATGGTCAGAGTCAGAATCTCATGTATGCGATCATGAACACAGTAATTGCATGTCAAAAGAAGAAACCATACTATCTGAAGTATGATCTTGGGGTCAAAATAGAATTTGTGAACTGATCATAGAAAATCCTGACTCTCTGAAATATAATTTGTGATTTCTCTGAGAATGTATGATAATGTGGTACCTCACAAACATTTCTGCCCATTCTTGAGCTGTGTGGGTTGTAACATGGTCAAAATTATGATGGTGTCGTTTCTCTCTTTCCTCAGCTGACATAGTCAAAGCTTGTCGAATTGAATCGGCAACTTCGGTAATGTTCCAAGGGTTCACAAGGATTGCTCCGGCACCTAGAGATTGTGCCGCACCTGCAAACTGAAAGTAGCTTAGATTAGAATAGCTTGAAGGTAATGTGCCACAAGGTACCAGTAGAAAGGGAGAATGCACACGAGCAGAAAATGAAATGAAATCGGTTGAGTAATATCTAAGTACCTCGCTGAGAATTAGAACACCTTTCTTTGAATCTTGGCATGCTACAAACTCATAACTAACAAGATTCATCCCGTCTCGCAATGAGGTTACAAGCGCTACATCTGAAAAACGGGAATAGAGATCATGACATAAGCACAAAGTCAAAATCCTAGTAAGTATACTTGTTTACATCAAGGAACATCAAATTAAACTAGCATAAGTTCCATTTTTATGACTTGACAAGTTGACACAACCATGCAAGAAAAAGGGTCGACAGTTTCAAGTTCAACTGAACTCAAAACAAGTTGCAGTTGAATTACGAGACAAAAGAGCACTGTACCAGTAACAGCATATAATGCACATAGGCCATAAAAATCCAGAGATCGATCCTGCATTAACAGAAGTCTACTTCAGAATACAATCATCAGCCATCTGGCAACAATCACATAAAATAACTTTGAAAGAACTAAGCACAATATTTCATGGGAAGACTGGAAACAGGTTCAAGTCTTCCCACCAACAGCTTACGAAACATATGGATAAAAATAGGAGGACGATGAGTTAAGTCGACAGTAACAAACCAGGTGATGTATTGGAACAGCAGTCAGTGTCCCAAATCGGCCATTAATGCGGCCAACAATTTCATGAACCTGACTTGTAAGTTTCTGATCTGTACAGATGTATAAATGTAATTTATTATTACTTCAAATGAAGACTTGCAACAAGAATAGGCTCTGTTTTCTTTTGGTTGTAAGGAATCAGGAAAACTAAGAAGCTTACATTCAGGAACGTCGGTTCTTGTTGGCACAGCAATTTGCAGCAGAACAACTTTATCACGCCATAAAGGGTTCTCCTCAAGAAACTTCTCGAATGCAAGTATCTTCTGTGGTATCCCCTTAATCATATCAAGACGATCAACCCCTAACATCACCTATTAAAAAGTGGGAAGCTTACATTCAGGAATGAAGAAACTAAGCCAGTCACTTCGATCGGTAGGGTGCTTTTACTCAAACAAGTGAAGCAACATAGGGAGGTCAAAATCAGATTATACCTTACGACCACGAAACCTTTCCGTCAGTTCTTTTATGTGCTCCTGCACCTGAGGGAGCTTAAGTGCTGATATAAACCTTTCTGAATCTATCCCTATGGGAAACTGAACATACAAAGAAGATAAACAAATTGTCAGTATGCTAACAAGGATTTAAAGACAACCGAGAGAAGATAAGTACAATCAAGCAAACATACAGCTGCCACCCGAGTTAGCTTGCCTTGGTCCTCAACTCCTTCAGGTGTGCCTTCAAGTCCAAGAATACGGGTGCAAGCACTAACGAAATGCCTTGCATAGTCATATGTATGAAATCTGAAAAAAGAAGTTGAAATTGGTATTGCATGTGTGGACAAGATGTAATGGTACAAGGACAAGATATAAAAACGATACTGCCTGGTTAAAAGCATCAGCAATTTAGGAAGTTACGTGAGAGTACTACTGTAAATGCCACAAGACTTGCGCAGTAAGGGCTTACCCTACTAAGTCTGCAGCCAAAACTGAACGTAGTAGCTCTGATCTAGAGGGCAGTGTCCTGTGGATTTCGGAGGATGGAAAAGGTGTGTGGAGAAACCATCCAACTTTCATGTTCCTGTTGTATTCCTTGAGGCATTTTGGAAGGAACATTAAATGGTAATCATGGCACCAAACAACATCGCCATCCTCATAGTGCTTATTCACTACATCAGCAAACATCTGATTGGCCTTCTTATACGTGGCAAACTGTGACTGGAAGCTCCTTGTTGTGGCAAGGCGATCTTCTTGTGGAAGGCCGAGATAGTGAAAAAGAGGCCACAGTATATTGTTGCAGTAACCATTGTAATACTGATGAACAGTCTCTTCATCAAGGAATACAGGTATGCACCTCTAAGACAATCAAAAGAAAGACAATTTAGAAGTGGTAGAAAAGCTCAATCAATAATCACAGAAAGGAAAACCAACGGAAGTTTAATCAGACATAATGCTTACTTTTTCGGCCAAAGCTTTTGTAAGTGCCTTCTGGCCTACCTCATCAGGCACATTAACCCCAGCCCAGCCTATCCATCTTGCCTCAAATTCCTTCACACCTTCATAACATAATCCAAAATGCATCACATTCTAGACCTTTTCCCATTTGGAGGCTATATTCTAAAAGAAAATTGAGAGGAATCAGTAATTATTCATAAAGAGTAGAAACTTTTTCTGACAGCATACCGAGAAGAGCAGAAACAAGACCTCCTGCACTAATTTCCAAAGACCAAGCATCTTCACCTCTTCTCACAGCAGAAACTGGCAGCCGATTAGCTACCACCAGCAACCTCTGCCTTAAAGGCCTGGCATCGGCAGCAGCAGCTTTTTCCACGTACTGTTCAATATAGGAACTCTGCTGAGGGCCACTACTCTCTCTGAAGTGCAACTCTAGTGCTTCACTTGATTCAACACCTCTATGACTATGATTACCATTCGCCTCAGCCTTAATGCTTCTCCTAAGCTCCCTCAGCTCCCTCTCTCTAAGCTGCCGCTCCACACGACCTGGGTACGGGGTTGAGTTACCGTGGTACTGGTTTGCAGGCATACGTTCAAGCCTTGAGAACCAGACCCTTTCTTTTCAGAAATTCACCAACTTTTTACCAGCACCAAGATGATTCTCAAAGCAATTGTATAACCTACATTCACAAATTTTTACATTAACAACATTTCAGTTAACAGTAAGTCAGATAACAAAACTGCCATCCACCAGAAGCTATAAGCCACACAATTATGTTTTAATTGTCACCATCAAAAGGACCAAGAAAACACAAATAAACAAAAAAGGCGAATGGGATCCACAAGAATTGCATGAGACAAACACTTAAGTCTCTCTAAATTAAGGAGCTCGAGACAAATATATGAAGAAGTAAAACTATTTTCAACCATAATTCTCTTTGACTACAGTTCAAAGTCCGAAGCTTTGAATTCAACCCACATAAGAGACATACACACTAACAACTCACCAAATTTAGCGAAGACCCTTTTCATGTAATCAAAACCCATGTCGAATTGAAGCAAACAAAGAACCAACCACTACAGAAAGAACATCACAAAGAACTCTATGCATGGAGGGGGCAACAAAAATTTACACAGCAGAACAAACCCATAAGAAGAAAGGAAAGACCTTCAATTAGCAGACTGAAGAATCGCGTAGTGAGACAGAGTAGAGTGTGGGTGGAGATGGAGCTTAAAGAGTAAAGCTGGAGGAGAAAGGATCAGTGGGCAGAGAGAGTTTTTGAGAGAGATGATAAAAGAAAGGTAAAGGAAAAGCAGGAAAAAGGAGCAGCAAATTCCTCGTGTGAGGATCACAGGGTAAACTGTAAAGAAGAAAAGAGGCGTCCCCCCGCCCTTCTCTTTGCTTTGCTCCCTACTTCTTCTCCCTCCTCCACTCGGGGCTGACACCCAATCCTCCTTGTCTGTAGATTCTTCCATATTTCCTCTCGTTGCATTCGCTTTTTCTTTCTCTTCCCCCCTGTATTAACTCCACTTGCCTTAATGGCTTTGTTTTGTTTTGGTTATTTTGTTAATCGCAGTATATTCGATGTTAAGAATTTGTTGACACGCCTTGCCCTGTCAGTGGAGCTTTTCAAAATTGGTCTTTACACTCCAAAGGAAAGGAGTAAGAGACTAATGGGTCTTGACTCTAGAGAACTTTTGGAGTATTGAAGAATTTGTTTAAAACTAATTCCCTGAAAAAGCTTTGATTAGACTAATCCATATGACAAAATTACTAACATATGTGATGGGATTCTATATTTCATGCATTGTGAGGTGATCATCAATCAAAAAATCCCGGCTTTGATGATGACAAGATTAGAGGAAAAGGGTCAGTCTCTACCTTCATGTTCATTTATTGACACATAAGATCGATTAATATCACTTTTGCATTCATGACATTGGTTTGAGTTTTACTCGGATTATCAAGAACCATGTTTTGGATCCTTATCGCAATTATATATATAAAAAATAGACCATCAATGACATGGAATCGAGTTCGATTATTGAAAGTCATTAATGCATGAGTCTACTATACCCAAACATTTGCTTTAGAATTTCTCATCTCATTTTCAAATGCCAAATGTTTGTTGAATGACATTTCATATCAATGAATGGTGGTAAAAAAAAAGTTGGTTTTCTTCGATTTCATATATGTAAAATTGTGGAAGCCAACCTAAAATTTTGATATCGTGAACCTAACAAATACTACTTTGATGTCACGTTATTCTGACTTTATCGAATTATCGAATAGTTTTCTTTCATACGGAGTTAGGACACCCTGGTACATTTGCATATCCAGTCTCATGAGCTAATGGTATCTGAAAGACATGTATACATGCTAATTTGATCTCCAAGTTAACGTTATTCGTTCAACTTGGTACTATTCGACTAGACGAGTGGGTTCAAAATCAGCCTAGACGCATGGGCCCTAAGGAGATACTAGTAAATCTCTTCTGCACTGCATTGCATTGCATTCCGCACCTCAAAGTTGCATACTTTATCTGCAGAAGACACAGCTGCAAAAGTGAGATATTCGGTGGGAATCCAGTCCAGTAGTCCCATCCCCTTGAGAGCCTTTATTTCTCAAGATTGCATCTCCCTACTTTAGCGACTAGAATGCTTAGCCTTGGCTACAATTGGTATACTCTAGAGATTGCTCAGATCATGCGGGTGGGTGTACTTAAGAGATGAGAAAATTATGAGATTGTTCAGACAACTTAATTAAACGAATATGTGTGCATTAGATTTAGAATGTTAGTATGGCAACTTAAGAGGGGACAGAGGATTGCCATCTTTCCTCTATATATGTCAGCTGCAGCAGAACAAGCGGCATAAAATCAACAACTATCATATGTGAATCTCGTATGTTTTTCTAACTGTCAAGACATAATTTGACGATTAGAAAAGCATCGACCACCATCTAAAGCTTGCTCTGTGTGTGTGCAAGAGAAGAGGGAAGAGGATGCTCGACCTGCCAACAAGGCTTGCCACATCATCAAACATTCTTGTATCGTATGTACCAGAACAAGAACTCATCACTGGTTGATATTATCATAAGACAAGCTGAGGAAAGGACAAAACACCTTTGCCAAAAGTTCCTTTTGGAGATCAAAATTACAATACAAAACCGCCCAATTGATCTCTTTTACGTCAATCGAGTCTGTGATAGTGCTAAGAAATCGAGTCCATAGCGAAGCGGGAATAGATGCAAAAGCCAACTCAAGCGAAAAAGAAAACAAAACAGGACACCTTTTTCCAAAGGTTCCTTTTTTAGATCAAAAGTATAAAATAAAAGACCCTCTCCCAATGCTCAATGGATCTCTTTCGCGTCAAATGTACAAGAACAGGAGCAAAGCGAGAAAAGAAGAATAGATGCAAAAGGCAATTCAAGTGACCTAAAAAGGTTCTTTATTTACATGCCTAAAGCGAGGGGAACAGCTTTAAAATTAACAATACTTTCAAGCATCTGATACAGAAGAAGAAACGACTCATCTAGGAAGCTTTGGTTTATTGAATATGGACATGAATACACATATTTGAAAAGGATGTAGGATGCCTAGAAGACCAATCAGATGTTGTCAGCTCACAGCAATTTCTTTACAATACACAAGAGGAAGAGAGCGCAGGAGGAAGCATACTGCCGACTGATTAGCTTGATTCAATGCAGACAGCGAGGGAAGAGGACGACGCGTGATCTAGCAAAACAAGAAAACAGTTATAGCTGCCAAAAGAACATCAATTTTTGATTGTAACAAACTGAAAATCCAGTATATACATGCAACACACCTTCTGGTTCAATATGCAACCAATCACGAGCACATATCAAAGCCTGCAGAGTGTCTGCACTTAGCGAGCTTCTGTAACCATCGAGCATCCTTCTTTCGGTGCTGAACACCATGTCGGGTGAGACATTTGACATTGGAGTGCCCAGAACATCCCTTGCCATCATAGACAAGATAGGGTATCTTGGTGTATGGGCCATCCACCAGTTCAAAATGTTGAAATCATGGTTACGAGGAATCACCGGTTCTTCTAAATATTTGTCCAGGTCGGATACAGAACTCTGGCTTTGAGACGTCTCATGCAGGTATTCGTCAAAGCCCTTTAATCTATCTCTGCTAATATTGGTGCAAGTGCCTGGCATGCTACTTCCAGGAAGAGTTGAGCCTTGGTCAACCAATGTTGAACAGATAGAGTATGCATTAAAAAGTTCCCTTATACCATCCGCGACCTCCTTGATTCGATCCAGGGCTGTGCTACCATAAATCTGAGAGTAATAGTACTCCACCAGTTTCATCTTGAACCGAGGGTCTAAGATTGCAGCAACTGCCAAAGCCAAACTGCATTTGCTCCAGTACCTATCAAACTTGGCTTTCATCTTAGAAGCAATGCAACTAAGATAGCCATCTGAATTTTTGCACCATTCAATTAGTTGGATGTGAACATCACATATCTCGGGGAAATACATGTTGGCTGTCAGAGGTTTGCTTCCAGAGAAAACATTGGTAATCTCCACAAACAGTTTCAAATAACCAGTAATAGAACTCGCCCATTCCCATTCAGTCTCCGTTAAAACTGTAGTGTAGCCTGGGTCATGTTGTTGCAAGAAGCAAAATGAAGTCTTGTATTCTAGGGCTGTCTCGAGCATATAGTATGTCGAGTTCCACCGCGATGGGGCATCAAGAACTAAGTTTTTCTGACCATCCATACCAACTTGCTGAACAATCTCGTTGAACTTGAGCTGGATTTCTCTTGAACTTTTGACATATCTTACACTTTCTCGAATCTTCTGGTTCACCTCTCCTAGTGCTTCTATGGCGTCTTGAACCATCAAATTTACAACATGAGCAGCAGACCTGATATCGAATAGTCGGCCATTACTCAAAAGGGGCCTGGTTTCAGAAATCCGGTTCTTTATTCTCACAATAATATGATCATCTATGGAGCAATCATCAAATGTCATAGCAAACAACTTGCACTCAATACCCCACTCCAACAGGCACTTAATAATCACTTCAGAAAGCATATCTTCAGTCTGAGAGGTTTCTAAAGTCACAAAGTTTAGAACTTTCTTCTGCAGTTTCCAAATCTCATCAATGAACTGTGCTGTCAAACACAAGTATTGATTATTGTCGGGACAACTCCACTTTTCAACTGCAAGGTTTATTCTGCCATTCAATCTGCTTAACATTTCACGCACTCTCTGCTTCTCTTTCTCATAGATTTGCACGCAAGAGGATTCAACAGAAGCATTTGGTACAGCCTCAAACAAAGGCTGAAGATTCTTCAAAAAAACTCTGAATCCGGAATGGTCAATCATGGTCAACGGGTAACCATGTAATAGAATCATGCAGGTAAGATCAAGCTGACTACGCTGTTGACTGAACCTACTACTACTTCCCACGTTCAGAACTCCGTGTTTTCTTAGCTCCTGATCAAACTTTACTACTGGAGTGTTGATGTACGCATCCGGTCTTTGTACCACCGGATTGACATCTGTAACAGCAAACGAGGGTTCCTTCTTCCTTCTCTTTGCCTCAAATAGGTGCGTTACATCATAATTGGATCTCTTCAAACATCGCATTAAGTGATTCCTGAGATGCGTAGTTCCACTATTACTTGATCCACTAAGTTTCTTGTTACAATGCACACAAACAGCATAGCATGTGTCAGCCTTCCTTACCCGCTCAAAGTGATTCCATACAACAGATGTCAATCTTTTAGATTTCTTGACAACAGAATCTCTTACTCCTTCCATTTGATAGAAATGGTCTGCAGACGAGCACAGTATATCATTCCCAAAGGGGTTAGATCTTAGATATTGTACTAGTAATATATCTTAATGGTAATTGATCTTTACAAGTTCTTTTGTAACATAGACAAAACATCTGGTTTAAAAAAACGAACGTTCACCCCAGATCAGAAAATACTCTATGGACTGGTAATAATGAGGTGAAGTAAGAAGGATTAACAGATAATTCACTCCCGTTGACATTTTATATAAAATTTGAGGCTTTTTAGTTGAACTTTTCCTTCAACTGGAAGGAGGAAAATGTTCAAGCATATCTTCTACCATAGATTAGAGCTAACAAAACCACCTTGAATCCACACTTATAATCTAAGCTAGGAACAGAAGCTAACCAACAGCAGCTTATCCGTCTACAAACAGACGTCACCAATTCCCTGAAACGTGCTATGCCAATGCATATGCTCCTCAAAGTAAAACCTAATCAGCCTCAAATTACCGAAACGAAGATATTCTACCTTCACCAATGAGCAAGGATAACTGAACACAGGAGTTCTAGATCTTCCAAAAACCAAACTTTTTTACGAATCAGCGACATAAGGTAACTTTAATCCCACAAATGAGTCTCTGAATGACCCTCAACAGGAGAATTTCTACACTCGGACCTTGTTTGCCCTCTAATCACAGCATAAGACAGTTCGGATGAGGAACTATCAGCAATTCAGCATTTCATTAACGAATAACGATCCTCCAATTGATCAAAGCTACTCAATCAGAACAGCAACAACTCTTGCTTAATTACTTACTCCAAGCAGCAAAATGAAGGGAAGAAGACAATGAGAAAGGATTGTACCTCGATTCAGAGCTCACGAGAAGATCCACGACTTGGTTTCGGAAATGGTGCAGAATAGGAATCGCATTTCCCAGCCACCGTGTACTTCTCGTCGCTCAGCTTCTCGATTCCGATTCCGATTCCGATTTCCGACCTAGCCGAGCTTCTCTGCATTGACTATTTCCCTGCTCTCCGTCGATGTCGAAGGAAGCGAGACCCCCCGCGCTAAGCAGAAACGGCAGGAGCAAGCAGAGGAAAACGTTGGCCTCGCCAACTACACGACGCCGTTGAGATTTTGCTTTCCGAAAATTACCAGCTATCCGTTTTAGTGCCTTAACTTTTCTATTTTAAGGTTTTGATACCTGAATCTCTTTTTCTTTTCAATGTAAGACCTAAAAGATAATTATAATCGATTTTGGTATCATATCTAAAGTTTGCTTTTACGTGCCTTCTCAAGGGCAATGTCTATTTTTTACCCAAACCTTTTTCAGATTCTTTTATTTTAACCAAATCTATAGAAATTCTATTTATTATCCAAACGTATTATAATTTATCAAAGTTTGGGCATTCATTCTGTTACCGTTACTTATTTCGTCCACGTGAGGGTGAGATTTTGTTTTGTTTTTTTATAATCTTTTTATTAAAAATAGTAAATGATGGTATTCTGACCGCCACGTAGGAAGTCAACTCATTATGGTCATACTTATTCAGCATTACTAACAGAAAAGTTGACGGAGAGTTAATATTTGGATAATTTTTAGGAATTCAATAGGTTTGGTTAAAATAAAAGAATCTGAAAAAGGTTTGGGTAAAAAATAGACATTGCCCTTAAGGTTTTGATACCTGAATCTCTTTTTCTTTTCAATGTAAGACCTAAAAGATAATTATAATCGATTTTGGTATCATATCTAAAGTTTGCTTTTACGTGCCTTCTCAACAGATTTCGCCAGTGCTAGCTTCCAAACAGAAGAGGACAGTTATAAATCAAACCATTCATATATGTTTTTCCTAATTAGTAGAGTTGTGAGTAGAAGGGTATGAAGCAAATCATCACAATCCATTCTACACCATACACTAGTGAATAGAGTAGCCTCATCGCATTCAACCAAGGACGCCGTTTGGATTGATTACATGTTCCTTCCTAATACTGTGGTACACCAAAATTTTGCTGACCTTAGAGGGTTACATTAGACCGCGAAACAAAGTGTTAAGTATAATGTTCATTGTCAATTTTGTTATCCATCTTCTAAATTTATATAGGGGACAAATTAGCAAATCATCACTATCAAACACATAAGAGATAGTTGAATCAAACATCTCTTCACTGGAGCAGCGACCACGCATTGTCGAAACTACTTATTACTTATAATTTTCAACAATAATACGATTAGATCAATCTCTTATTCACAAATTATTTCTATTCCTTTTTGTCACCAAGAAATGTCAAGAAAGAAACAACAATAAAAAAAAATACCCCACCTCTACAAGAACCCAACCATCCTAACTGGGCAAGAAAAATCAAACGATTGCAATTCTAACAAAAACAAAGAAAGGGTTTTACGTGCCACTCTATGGATCGCCCAACCCAAGTGACAACTATAAGGGTACTAAAAACAGGGGCGTAGCCAGGATTTTATTCAAGGGGGGTGCCATAATTCTTTTTACATATATAGTTTGATATTTCATATTGTGAAATTATTCTACAATTATATGAATCGACTAAACTATCAAGATTTCACAGTATCTCACCAAATAACCATTCACAATTTCAATTCACTTGATGAGAAAGGCTGTCGTTTCACTGCATAAAATGTTATCAACTTGTGCATTGACAACTGGCAATAGCAAATCAAATCAATTTTCACATGCAAATACATTAATGAGAACTAATTTTCTCTTTCCGACTATATATCGTTATCATAAGCATCTAATGGTTTTCTCTAATAGTCTGCATTTCTTATCCATATTGATAAACTAGAATGTAAAAATGTAGATATTAGTAGATGAAATTAATTTATATAGTTTGTTGTGGTTTAATGATAGCACATTTGACAATTGATATTGAAATTAAGAGATTAAATATCATTATTAACATACTAATATTTTTAATTTTTGGGCTTTTCTGCAAATCCAAGGGGTGCCATGGAACCCCTTTGCTTGCCTCTAGCTACGCCTCTGACTAGAAATAACCTCGAGGAGCAAGCAATAATGACATGGAAGTTATAGTTGACGGCAATGATTAACAATCAGTTTTTTCAGTTAATTGAAAGCAACAAATGGTACACAGAAATGGTGCATAATTGGACCAATAATTCTTCTTCACATTCACTAACATGCTGTCTCCGTGGAGCAGAAGGTGTCACTCTCACTTATTGCCCTAATCAAATCATCAACCATGCACGTGAAATTATTCTCCCTCTCTTACACCTTCAAATACATCATGTGAGATTGTGAGCAACTTGGCCTCCTTTTAATAACTTTTTATCTTCAAACTTTTCGTTTCCCCCTTCCATCTTAGAACGAAGATCGATACCACCTTTTCACTTCATTTTGTACTAATCTTACCATAATTTTACAACCATAAGACACCAAGAAAGCACTTGACAAAAAAGAGTAGGTTCAAATAGAGATCTCACGGTCCAGAAAGATAATTGTGGTTTACTCTAACGAAATCTTCCAAGCAACCACGAATGCAGCCTGACTCATTGAATCTAAATTGTGATCCCAAACCTTTAACGAGACGCCCAACCCACAAGTTAAAGAAGGAGAGAAAGATATCGACTTGAGGCCTCATCACTAAAATCGAGCATGATATTCTTATAAGTTATAACCATTTTACATATACAATATTCATTCGGTATAATTAATCTCCATCGATGCAAATCATCAAAAGTTGCAATCTTCTCGATATAACATCACTAACGTAAATAATAATTGACGATTCTGATTCACTGAAGTACATCCAATGATAAGATCACTTGGAGTTATTTCTTTCTAGACCATGAATTAAACCGAATCCGAAGTTATACCCTAATTATATTGAATATGTACCGATTCTCTAAACGCAAACCATAAAAAATTTAATAAAAATAATAATCAACTATTCTGATTTGCCGAAATACATTTCAACAAACATATCGTTTAGAGTATGATATTATTCAGAAGTATGGTAATCATTATCATATATAAATTAAAAAGTATTAGAAAGGGTCAGCTACTAAGCTAGAGTAGTACCTGTCTAATTATTCCATCATGTGGGATCACACATATATAAAAAAGCCCCATTTAGCACCAAACACAACTCAATTCAATTTTGAGACAAAAAGAAACCATTCCATCACACAACACATGTCTCCACCACTCAACCTCCTCTTCCCCTGCCTCTGGATCCTCTGCCTCTTCCTCTTCAATCCCACCGCCGCCAGGACGACTCCGCCACCGCGGCGGCAAGATCAAATCAGGCAATACCTGGAGCCTCACAACAGAGAAAGATCCAAGCTTGGAATCCCTCCGCTGAAATGGAGCAAGAAGCTCGCCGACTTCGCCGCCTCATGGGCGCACACGAGGCAGGGGGACTGCGAGCTCATCCACTCCGGCACCAATTACGGCGAGAACCTGTTCTGGGGGAGCGGCCAGCAGTGGAGCCACGGCGACGCGGTGGCGGCTTGGGCCGCCGAGAGATGCTACTACGATCACGCGGCGAACTCGTGTAGGAAGGGCCAGGATTGCTTGCACTATACCCAGATGGTTTGGAGGCAGAGCTCGCGAGTTGGGTGTGCTAGAGTTGTCTGTAAGAGTGGGGACACGTTTGTGGGCTGTAACTATGATCCTCCTGGCAATGTCGTTGGGGAGAAGCCCTTTTGATCCAATTTTGCTCGCAATTCTGGCCGGTTGTGTTTTGTATATATTATATTATGTGACAATAAGTGAATGGCAGGATTCAATCCTTGAGCTTTTATTTTCTTCGATTACCCCCTCATTCAAATTTCTAGCTCGCGTCGACACGAGACGACATACTGACCAGCCAATTAGAACTGCTGAGAAACATAAATGGTGGGAATCGCAACTAGAGGGGTCTTTCGATAGGATATAAAACCAGTAGCTTCAGTCATGTCCAGTCCTTGCCCTTCAACACCATCAGGCAACTCCCAATCGAAGTTCCCCACCAGATGAGCCAGCGTATGCTCCACAACGGCAAGGCCAAAGGATATTCCAGGACAACCTCGTCTTCCTGCACCAAAAGGCAGCAGCTTGAAATCCTGACCCCTAAAATCCACGTCGCTGTTCAGAAATCGCTCCGGCCAGAATTCTCCAGGCGATTCGGTCCAGTCTGCAGGGTCCCTTCCGATCGCCCATGCATCCATTAGGATCATGGTTCCGGCCGATACATCGTACCCTGATATGGTCGTGTCTTGGATGAACTGTCGTGGGAGTAGCAGAGGAAGTGGTGGGTGCAATCGAATTGTCTCTTTGATGACTAGTTTGAGGTACTTCAATTTCTCTAAATCGGCCTCCCCGATAATAATTTCTCCTTTCTCGTCACTCACTAGTTCTCGTCTCAACTCCTCTCGCAGCTTCTTCATCACCCTAGGGTGTTTCATCAGCTCCGACATTGTCCATTCCAAAAGTGTTGCAGATGTATCTGTTGCTGCCACGAACATGTCCTAATCATTTGGTCAACAATCAATTAGTGATGTAGTGGTGAGACGTTAAAAAAGACAATCAAAATTAGTAGACTATGTTGGTAATGAAGTACCAGGATCAAAGCTTTGATGGCATCTGTATCAAGTTGGGCGTCCTTTTGAAGCTGCAATAAGGTATCTATGAAGGGTAATGTAAATGTTTGGTCATCATAATTGTCTTCTGTTATCACACTGCTACAAGAAGAATTGGTGTTGCTACGTTTCTCCAAGTTACGAGCCTCACTCTCCAGGATAGCTGCATTAAGCAATTGTTGGGATTTTTAGTGGTGTGAATGGAAATAAAAGGTTCATTCAATTTCGTTGGTTTGGTTACCAAGAGGAGAAAGTGTCATTCGCGATTCAATTCCAGAATCAGGTAACACCCTATCTCCATGTCATTTGAAAGGAATTTGGTTGTTGTTCCCCCTTTTACATGTGATTGGTGGTGGTTCATACATGTATATATCATCGTGAATTGTGTCGTATGTATATCTGTGTGATATAATTATCTTCATGCATGGCAATGAAGTACATGCTAATTATATTATTTGGAGATTTGGTTGCTGTGGACATGTGAATTTCAATGGCCATCCGAAGTTACTTTTGTTGTTTCCTTTATTTGGCTTTTTGGATTTTATAAAGAGAATTGGCATTGGCTATGTGTTCAATTAAGTGTGTTCATTCTGTTAGAAACAACATGGCTAGTAGTCCTCTCAATGTATGGAGTCCAACTCACGAGGATGACGATGCCGTCATAGAGGTCATCAATATCGAATCAGATCCAGAGATCATTGATCTCTTTACTCTCGAAATGGAGTTTGACAATGAAGAATGATTCGACTTTTATGACGATAGCGGGGATCTGCTATATAATGACATTGGTGGAGAGCATCCAACCAATTATTGGACTCTAGATGATATACCCATCTATGATTGGTACTCAATGGGTCCTAATATGGACGATGTGGGCACCCATGTGGACTCGATGGAGAGTATGGGGGAAGAAGAGGAATTTGAGGAATCGGAGAACGAGGAGGAGTACTCCGACATAGCGACCGATGAATGTCTCTCTGATCCTGACTTCGGCCCCAAGAATCCTTAAGATTCTTGTATATGTATTGTAATCTCCTTTGAGGAGTAGACATATGTATGTGTGTGTGGATTAGTAGGTGTGTACCTATGTAATTCGTGTATTTACATGATGAATGAAGGACAAATGTTCTTATCTTCCAAGTGGAAAATTAGTTGGACAAAACCTTACGAGTTTGTTTGGTTCCAAAAATTAACCACAAAGTTTTAATGCTTTATTGCATTGGTCCATCTCTATTATGTGGCATGGATGAATGATAATTGTACCAATTTAATTTGGACACCTTTTCATTCAAGGTGACGCATGAGATGATGGAAGTACTTATGATAGTCCTTCATGGACTCTAAGTAACGGTGGTTTGGATAGTAGTAAACTATCTAGTGGGAGAATATGAACAATCATAGGTGTGTAAAACCGATGGAGCGTGGCAAGTGGGGACTTGTGAGTCAAGTCTATCTATGCCGGAATGGTTGCAAACGTAATGTTCATAGTATGTTGGACATAGTTTGAAAGAGTATACCTCCAATGTGTTGGAGATGAAATTTGGTTAATGCACGTTTAAGGATTGCATTATGAGAAAGCTACAAGCGATAAGGAATTCTAGTTCCTGTGATAGTTGTGAAGACATGATAATTTATTTATCATGTATGTGGTTTAGGACTTGATGTTTCCTATGCCACGAGAGCAAGGAAAATGAAGTAATTGATTCTTATAGGGATTTAATAAGCTTGCCAAATGATGGTTGTCATCAGGATAAGCATTAGGTCAGAATGTTGAGTGGTATAAGTACACTATACCATTGGAAAAACAATTTGACTATGATTATCAACGTGGAGCTAATTGCGAGAATTGTTTATGGTATATACAGATGTATATCATTGGAAAACAATTGGAATGAGAGCTCAATTGAGATGATCTGATTGAACGTAAAGACTGGATTACTTGTGGTATATTTATGAAGTTTATACCATTGGAAAGTAATTAGACAATTGAATTAGAAATTCGTTTGAATTACTTGTGGTATAACATGTTACCTATATGAAATGTCATTGGAAAGTAATTAGATGAGATTTCCATTACTGGAATGCATCTGAATTACTTATGACGTCTCAAGTTGCCTAGATCAATACCATTGGTAAGTAATTGGATGATTTTTCTAATAAAATCTGAATTGTTTGTGGCATGCTAATCGAGTGAGATCATACCATTGGTAAACAATTAGTTACATATAGTGGTTGGCAAGTTCAATAAGTAAAACCATGGAAAATAAATGGGATTATTCCATGATGTTTGGCAAAGGGTAGAATTGTGGGGGAGAAGAGCTAGCCATTGTTTCGGCTACTATCTCAAGACCCTACAATGGGACGCAAACCTATCCATAAGACAAAAGAGGAAAGGTAAGCGAAGTCATACTTGAAAGTATGAAGGTGTCCTTAAACCTTGTAGAGTTAACCCAGTCCAAGGGTATAACTTATGAGTAAACTCTAGCATATATTGACGTTATGTCAGAGGCTAGAATATTTATTGATGTTGGTCCACTCTTCCCAAAGAGAGATGATTTTGACCATATACATGAATGTATATGAACAACATTCCCCAAACTGGAAACGTTGGTTTCAACAACTATGGCGAAATAGTTGAAATGTGGGGGATAAATTGGGGGAAAGTAATGTGGAATGTCGCTTGGGTGTTTCTAAAGTGAAAGTGATACTTAGAAGATTTGCGTAAATCCTAAGCTAAGTCATAAATGTCACTACATTTAAAGAGATACTTGTGAAGCTCAAGTACTTTAAGGTTAATGAAGTGGAGAGACTTCAATACCGTTGACATGTGTTATGATTATTGCAAGGCAATAAAATCAAGTCAAGCTCACAAGATGGGTAGTGAATTGAAAAGAGACGAGTCTTTGGTGTATTGTACCCAAAGGAACTCACCGGATGAACCAAAAGCCATAGTCCATTAATGGATAGGCATTTATGGTTAACGAGGAGCAGTATCTTGGAAATCGTCCAAGTTAAACTCTAAGACCGGTGAAGTTGAGTAGTTTGGCCCGCAAAGACTGGCGTTAATAAAACGCACTTATGCACAAAGGTGTTATTGCAAGGGCTAGGAGTGTTATGTGATAAATCTCGTCAAAGATAATGGAAACGTGACACTATGGATTGATTAATTTCTAGCAAAGTTATTTGGATTGATCATCTTATATCAAGTGATAACAAACGTTAGGCCTACCTAGAAATTAACGATAGCATCGAAGGGAATGGACTCGTGGCCTAGGACAAATCTTCATGGCGGTAACTCTACCTAAGCAGGATTGGCAGACCCAACCTCTAGGTTCAAGGAGAAACAAAGTTGTGATTGATGGTCCGACATTGTCAAATTATTCAAAGTCCATTCTCATGATGAGACAATGTCCAACTATAAGGGTAAACCTAAAGATGGAAGGTTTTTAATGGCTTCTAAGTTTGACACAGGATGTGATCAAATAGTGTATTTTCGGAATACACGTTTAGAAATCACCTATGTGAGTGTGAAGTGGAGCCGCTTCAAGGAGAATAAAAGAAGGCCAATTCTCTACACACTCATGAAACCAGGCGGTGTTCATGGCTGAAACGAACACAACAATGAGAACCAGTGAACGGATAAGAGTTAGGTGTGTGACATATGTTGTCTTAGTATACAAGCAAAACCGACGGTTCAAAGATATCACATCTACCGATTGGTGAGTATACTCGATATATGTTCACTAAGGAAGGTTCAAAGGGAAACCTACCTATTCCGATGCAACTAATTCTTAGTCGAGAATCACACGATTTTTTGCATAGTTTTTAAAGTACAACATTCTCCATTCATGTGGGGGATTGTTGGGATTTTTAGTGGTGTGAATGGAAATAAAAGGGGAAAGTTTCAAGAGAGTCTCTTGAAGTACCATGTTGGTAAGATGTGAGAAGGCATGGCCTCGAATTCGATCGATTTGATGTAATATGTGGTTAGTTGGTTAAATTGGTTTGTGTAACCAAATGAACCAAACCGAGTAGAACCAAATCGAACCGAACCGATGTGGCGGTTGGAATAACCAAACCGGTCCAACTTCCATGAGGCCGAACCAATGCAATGGTTGAAATATTTTAAACGAACCAATGCAATGGTTGGGGTGTAACCACCCATATGAAGAGTTGCCTCCCTTCAATGCATCCCTTCATTTTCTATAAATAGCACCATACCCCCTCTTGTTTTAACAACGAGTTTTACATGGATTTTTACCGGTGCCGAAACTCTGCCAAAACCCAAAACTAGTTTTTCTGCATTCTTTTCAAAGAGAAAATTGAGGAAATTCATCAAACTGCTGGGCAACTCTATCGACCCGGGAATCGAAGCCGGTGAACCGGTTCACCCACCAGAGACAAGGGATGAAGTCGCCCACAGTAAAAGTGCCCAGCAAACCAGTGAATTCGGCCAACAGGTCCTTGAAATTGGTGTTAGCACCCACATCGTACTTCCTCCCTAGAGCCATCCTGCAAATCACGTCGTTGGACAGCCGGAATAGCAGCTCGCTCAAGTTCACTGCCTGCATCATGCACAATAAGTGGCGGAGTTAAGTTGATGGCAGAGGAGGTTAATTATAGTCCCATTCAACTCTCAAAATCATTTAAAATTATATTCAAACTTTGTAACTAGTTTTGAAAATAAAAGAGTTAGTAGAGCTTCAATTAGTGAGCCAGCCGAGTTAATTCAAATTCTCTAAAGATAGATTTTTAGCAACCTTTCCTTTAAATTTCTGACTCTCCCATTATACATAGTGTAAGAGGTAAAAACTTAACAATTCATTTTCCAACAACTTAACTTATTGTGATCAAGTGATTTGTTTGTTAACATGATATCAATACTTACAATTAAAGTCATGGTTTCAAATTCTCATGATGACTCCCAGTACTAACAATAGTTAAACACAAAAAATGATATGCTAACACGATAATTGTTTTTTCTAACGATAATTCTCTAAAATTCTCAGGAAAAAAATCTAATTGTAAAACGTTGAGCATGAGCACATACCTGGACTGTTTGGGCACTCTGCTTGATCCGATTGACTAGTAACCTGATTTCTTCCTCCCTCACGGCTTGCCCGGACTGAACTTTTCTGGTGCTGAGTAGGTGAAGGACGCACAGCCGCCGGAGCTGCCTCCAGTACTCGCCGTAGGCTGCGTTGGTGATGTCTTTGTTGACGCCGTAGAGAAGCCTGTTGGCGGTTTCGATTTGTGGCCGGTCGGAGGCGATGAGGTCGTTGGTCTTCAGCACCTCTCGAGCCGCCACCGAGCTCGTCACCACCAGCACCGGCTTCCTCCCGAAGTGAAACAGCATCGGGTCGCCGTACCGCTTCGCCAGGCTGGCGAACGTTCGGTGTGGGTACTTCCCCACTTGGTGGAGGTTCCCGAGGATCGGCAGCCTCGGCGGGGACGGTGGCCACCGGTGATTGTTTCCCTGCCGGCGGCGGCGTTTGAGCACTAGTGCAAACCCGCCGACGAGGAGGACGGCGGCCAGGAGAAGAAGTAGTACTGACGAAGACGATGCCATCATTTCTTTGCTATAGTTTAGCTGCAGCTTGTAGAGGAACTTCTGCCGATATATATTATTATTACAACATCTTATTTTCTAAACTCAAAATTCAATTTAATTAAAATTGGACATACTGGTATGGGAGCAAATACTACTATATAGGGATTTCCTACAATAACTTGAAGTAAGGTAACTTGAATTTTTTTACCTGCTATAGTAGGTTTCACAGGTCGCATTACGTAAAATATAATAGGTATTAAGTAACGGTTACGTAACATATGGTAATCTAACGTAGCAGTTGTAAAAGATCATTACGGAAGTCTTACGTAATAGAATGTGTCTTTACGTAATGAGTATTAATCTCGCGTTACGTAAAATGCTAAGTCATTACGGAAGCTTTACGTAACCTACTGATTTAACTTTTACGTAAGAAATAAATGTCGTTCCGTAACCTTTACGTAATGAGTATTAACCTCGTGTTACGTAAAATGTTGAGTCATTACGTAAGCTTTACGTAATGAATGTGTATTTTACGTAACAGTTGTAAAATGTCATTGCGGAAGCATTACGTAATTGAAGGTCTCTTTACTTAATGAGTATTAATGTCGTGTTACGTAAAAAACTAAGTGATTACGGAAGCTTTACGTAACGCTTTCGATTTCACTGTTACGTAAGAAATAACTATCGTTCCGTAACCTTTACGTAATGGAAGGTCTCTTTACGTAATGAGTATTAATCTCACGTTACGTAAAGTGCTAAGTTATTATGGAAGCCTTTCGTAACGCTTCTACTTTAATCGGAATTAAAATAAGGAAAGGATAAAATAAGAAAAAACAAATAAATATGAAAAAAGGAAAAAAAAAACAAGAAAGGTAACTTGCTTTGTGGCCACCGGCAACCCATGTTGCCATTGATTTATTTTTACTTATTTTTTATTTCTTTAAGCAATGGTTTAAAATAAATTTGATCGATTTTAACGGTTTAGATTTATGCAAGTTACCTAACTTAAAATTATACCCAAGTTACTGTAGGAGATCCCATACTATATAACAGTTAATATTCAAATGCAAACGCTATCAATCATGTTATAGGCATGTCATCTTAATAATTTGAATCGATTAAAAATATTAATTATAAATTTTATATCATTTTTTTACCGAAGAAACCAACCTCCATTTTTTCATTGTTTCTTCATGAATAAAAACAATGCAACGGATCACTAAAATCCACATCCCTCCATTTAAAACCCATTAGGTATTATTTCATGAATTGGAAAGCAACGATTGGAGGCATTGTATGAAATAGTTAATGCAAACAAACCGTTGGTAAGCAAATATTGCTTCCTACTTCAAAAATTGGTGCTCAATCACTATAAATATGTAGTGGGTGTGGATGGTGGAAAAACATACCGAAAATGGTTCTTCTATTCTTTCAGTGAACTCTCAAACAACTCCGTTAATGGAATTGGACGGATGCTAATGAAGAGTGACTAAATGTGACATGTTTCAGTAATTCGAGTGACATTTATTAAAAAAAAAGTAATTCGAGTGACAGGAGTTGGATGGAGGCTAACGGGAGAATGACTATATATGACCAGTTTTAGTAATTCGAGTGACAAAAATGATATTAATTTTTTCTAATGACTAAACATAACACGATTTAGTAATCCCAGTGACCAAATGTGACATTTACCCTTACAAAATGCATAGATTATGTTGTGAGCTCTTTCCCCAAAAAAAATGTTTTGAGCTCTTACAAACTTTGTCATTGACCCACCAAATCCAATTCTTCACCTATCAAGCCCGTCTATCACTAAACCCAATGAGCCCACATGTATGGAAATTGGTTCTTCTTTTATCACCCACCAAGATGGAGGGCCCAATTGAGCCCAAAATCCAGCTCACATCTCACCTTACTCACTAGTCACTCCCAAGTCCCAACACGCCAGTTCTCCAAGCAGTTAGTTTATCAACGCGGGACTCACACGTGTACAGCGAATTCCTCCACAAACCACCAAAATATCAGTGCACAAATTTCCCCCTCTGTATTCTCCAACAAGATCCTCAGTCAAGAAGTCTCTTTTACTTCTCCTCTAGAGGTTCTCTCTCTCTAGTCTCTACCAAACAGTTGCAGCTCTTGTGGCTTCATCTGATCCTCTTCTTTTTATCTTTATTTTATTCCTTTTCCTTTGTCACCAGGACGAAAAAGATCTCAATTCCGCCCCCATTCCAGACAAGTTTACAAGTTGCCAATTTTGAGTTTCCTTCCTTGCTTCTCCCACTTGCGTAAAATATCCACCAAGTTTCCAGCTTTAGATTCCCCCATCTGGTCCAGAAGAATTTCCCCACTTCCCCTCGTTTCAGGATCTTACCCGCCACTGGGTTGTCTAGAGAGAGTGAGGGAAGGAGATGAAGATACAGTGCAACGTGTGCGAGGGGGCGGAGGCGAACGTACTGTGCTGCGCAGACGAGGCAGCATTGTGTTGGGCCTGCGACGAGAAGGTACACGCCGCCAACAGGTTGGCAAGCAAGCATCAAAGGATTCCGCTTACCAGCTCTTCCCCTCAATTGCCCAAATGCGATATTTGTCAGGTGACTACCACTGATCGTCTTGTTCTGTAGATGATCCTCTTTCCAATTTTTGCTTATTTGGGGGGGATTTAATGATTCTGGTAAAACCCACCCTGGTTTCCTCTGTTCTTTTCTTTCCTGGTTTGAGTTGTGGTGGATGGATCATCCTTGGGTTAGGTGGTGAAAAGCGCTCTTGCTGCTGATGTTCTTTTCCTAAGTTGGGTTGGGAAAGTTTAGTTTTCGGCATAATGATATTAGAGTGGCCAAAAGACTGTGCCTTTTGTACTGCAGTCGCTCGAATTAGAAACCTAGTTTAAGTACAATGAAATGGCAGGCTTTCGTTTGAGGAGACCGTGTAATGAATAAGTATGGGATCTATTCATGAACATCCCCTTACAATTTGAGCTATTGACACGATCTAATTCTCGAGGAATTTATTGAACAACACCAGTTCTGAGTTTTTGTGATTAAGTAACCGGGGCTCTTCTAGTACTATGTCAACCCAATTGTTTCATACCAGGATCTTAATTCATCTATACTAGCTCTAACATTTGACCCAAGGTCACTTTCCAGCAAAATCACATACCCTATTCATGAGTACCTCTTCTAGCAATTGGAGTCCACTCTACCTGAGAACATATGCTCTACCTCTCTTTCGTACATGGACGGATATTGCTGAGCAGAAGTGATGCCTTCCATAATACTCCCTATTCGTCCTATCAATCACATTGACTTGGTTTTGTAAAGGCAAGGATCTGTCTAAGGTCCTCTATGTCATCATCTCGTCCTTTTATGGGATAATGAAAATGAAGGTGCTATAAATGACCTTTAGGATGTGTTCCTTAATTCAAATTGTTGTCATCTTAGTTTCATTGTCACGATGGCTTGCTAGGTGGAACCTTCTTTATCCTATCGAAGTGATGAACTATTGATATGATATTCTGATGTTGCATTCATTGATGGTGATTGGTGAGAGTAAAGGACAATGTCTTTGTTCATTGCAGGAAATGGCAGGCTTTTTCTTCTGCCTAGAAGACAGAGCTTTGCTCTGCAGGAAATGTGATTTGGCCATTCACACAGCAAATGAATATGTGTCTGCTCATCAGAGATTTTTACTTACAGGAGTGAAGGTAGGTCTTGAGCCTACTGATCCTGGTAGATCTTCGTCCTCAGGTAAGTCGCCTTCTGGTGAAAAGCAATCGGCGATGAAATCTCAATCTGTTTCTGAAAGAATCACACCAGCAATGCCATTCGCTAGTACCTCGAATGATACTCCATCTGTGAATGGTGGTGGATTAAGGAGCTCTGAGCCTTCTGCAAAGGTGCCTTTTTCGGAGGATTATCAGGCCGGAGGCATCCAACAGTGGCCACAACTAGATGAATTTATGGGTTTAACTGAGTTGAACCAAACTTACAGCTACTTGGGTAACGGTTCATCAAAGGTATGCATTTCTCTATTTCCATTGCAACTCTTGATATCTGTTCATCTTCAGATCTGTTGCTTTACTGGACTTAGTATGGTTTCTCTAATCATCGGAATGAACTGATATTTTATAAACTATTTGTGTGCTCGAATGCTGGTAACCCTCAATGATAATGCTAATATTTAACCACAAGACTTGTTGGGCCTATGCAAACTTCAAATCCAATTGGTTTTTATATGAAAGGGAGGTGTAAGAAAATAATATGAGATCAAATCTTGGAATGAGTTTCTTGACACTTCTAGTGCTGTTACTTCAAGTCAACACCTTTTCTGGCTAAATTGGCTTCTTCGATATCTAACTCTTGGATTAGTCAATAAAAGGTGATATGCCCTTTGTAATTCGTTACTAGCAGCCTTGTGATTCTTGTCCCTCATGCGCTTCCTGTTTATGGTGTTTGTATCAGGCTGATAGTGGGAGGCGTGGAGACTCCAACAGCTCCTCTGCAATGATGAGGTCTGGTGACGATGAAGTGGATAAAGATGAGTCTCACGGTCAAGCTTCAGATAGCTATTGGGCAGTGCCGGAGATGCCATCACCCCCGACTGCCTCAGGGCTCTGCTGGCCAAAACAACCCTGGGATCACGGGGTGGTTTCCGTGCCAGATATAAGCTGCTCAGGTGCTCAAACCAACTATGATGGCGAGAAAGAACATGTAAGAGCCAGAAAGAGGCGGAGGCAACAACGGTGGACTACTCCCTTTTGATGGCCGCTCTGCACCCTCTTTCTTGGATAGGGGTAGATTTGCATTCTTACGATTTCTGTTGTAATTTGGCTTTTGCTTACCTAGGAGCTTAAAGAGAAAAAGGTTGAAGGTTTCAAAATGGCATTGAGTTGAGGGTGATGGGTTGAGAAGAATAATGTATGATAAGTGATGTGTTCTGAGATAGACAGCCTGCTGTAAAGAAGAGTTCTTAATTTTACAAATGTTTAGTGTAATGGGCTAATGGCTGTGCAGGAGAAAACCTAGTTTCCAGCATTATCTGGGTTTGACAGTAATAGCAGGTTTTGGGCGGTCTTGTGTTTTTTAAGAGCATTTGTGTTTTGTAGGAGCATACAAATATGTGGCAATGGAAATGCAATTTTAATGGTATGGATGGAAGTTATAATTGTAATTGTGCAAGTTATCATAAAATGCAATTCCATTTGCAATTTCTCTCTTTTTTTAATATTTACATTTGATGGTCACAAATAAGGTTGTCAACCCGTGAATCGACCCGGATTAACCTGGACCCGGTGGGAAGAACGGGTTTCAAACACCCATTGAAGAGTTAGCCCATTACAGTCAAACCCGCCCTGAACCAGTCAAAACCCGGCAAACCCAGGCGGTTGACCCGACAGCACGGGTCTCGGGTTGGAGACCACCACCGCCTCGTTCTTCGTCCTCACTGAGTCGACGACAGTTCGTGGCATCGTTCATAATCAACCGCCAAGCTACCCTCGTCGGACAACCAGAGCGTCGTTACTCCTGGCCACCGCGCCAAAAGTTGTCGGCTTCGCTGAACTATTTCGGTTTTGATTGTAATAATCAGGTTTGATGAACTATGCTGTAACTTGGGAAGTACCTATAACAAACTGACACCTTGGATGGCTGAAACTTATGCATCCAATCAAGGTTGGAGTTAAGAATTTTCCGAAATAACCACATCGTTGAGAGAGAGTAAAAACAAAAAAAAGACTACCTGCAACCGAGTAAACCGATCCGGCCTTCTTCACCCCGTCGGCTGCCAGCGCTGTAGCGGCTGCATTCCCCGCAGCCTTCCACAGTAACCCGAAAACCGACTCGGGTTGGGAACCGGTTCGCTCCTAGCTCTGGCCTTCAGCGCGAAAACCGCTTCCTCGTCGAACACGAATCTCCTGGTCACGCTCCTCTTCCCTTGCTCGTCGTTGCACTTGTACTCCACGTTGGAAGGGCCCACGTCGTCGGCACGTGCGGGGAAGAGTGACGTGGCGGCTCGACTGGTTTGGTGGGTCCAGTTGTAGGATAGAAGAAGATGAATGGGACGTAAAATGGGCGGGTTGTTGCTGTCGATGAGGGAGAGCTTGAATTCGGTGAGGTGGCGGGGAGTTGGGGAAGAGGGTCTTATTATGGTTATGGTTTCCGACGGACTACTACTACTGCTGATGACATTGTTTTGGGCTTGGGAACGAAACGAACAAGATGCAAAGATTCTTCTTCTAACCGCCGGTGACACAAACAGCATTGTTGTCGTTGAATGGCGAAACCGAAACATGGCTGGTGATCTAACTTACAATTTAAAAGTTATTGATGGTGATAAATATGTGTGTGAAAATATTGGTGGCTGATGGGGCTTATATAGACCTGCAGTGGCTGAAGTAAATTAAAGTACTGTCGTCTCGTCGTTGCTAATATTTGCATTTGGGACGGAAGGCATGAGATTGCTATGGATGTCCAGAGAGTCCGGATCTGGTGACTAAGGGGGGGTGCTTAGTCAAGTGGCTAAGCTCCCCTCAGCCCTTAGATTAGAATGGGTAGATCTAATGGTCCAGATGAAAGAAGGGTTAGCAATTAATCAGAGGGGTAGTTTTGGAATTTAAAAAAATAATTAAATCCTGATTTCCATTTTATTTATTTTTTCTTTTTTCCCCTCTCCAATTCTCTCCAACCGTCTTCACCCAAAAAAAAAAAAAATTCTCTCCAACCGTCTCCTTCTTTCACGTTCACAGAGAGAGAGAGAGAGAGAGAGAGAGATGCGCGGCGACGGTGAGAGAAGCGCCGACGGCGACGATGGAGAGAGAAAGAAGAACAGTTCCTCACGCCGCCGCGCCAACGCTCTCCATCCCTTCTTTGCGTTCACGTCCGCTCCAGATCTCCCTTCCATGTCGGTTCCTCACGGCGCGTGGTTCTTGTCTCCGTGTAGATCTTGCATCGATCTACCCTCTGATGGTCATTTCGAGCTCGTCGGCGATGGCAGTAGATTGAATCAGCGGCGGCAGCGGTGGAGAGAGAGTCGACGGCGGCGGCAGCGGTGGAGAGAGAGTCGACGGCGGCGGCAGCGGTGGAGAGAGAGTCGTCTGAAGGAAGAACAGTGATTTGTATAGTTTGTATGTTTTGTAACATTAGTTTGTATTGTTAGTATTTTTGTACAAAATGTCAGTATGGTTTGTATGTTTTTCTTTGACAGTTTGTACTCTTAGTATGTTTTTCTTTGACAGTATGGTTTGTATGTTTTTCTTTGACAGTTTGTACTCTTAGTATGTTTTTCTTTGACAGTTTGTATTCTTAGTATGTTTTGCTTGTATTCTTAGTATGTTTCGCTTTGTATTGTAAGTACTAATAATTTGTATACTTTATATGTATTGATTTGTGATGCAAAAAACATTACAAACATGGTTGACAAAAATGACAAACATGTGGACAAAAATAACAAACATTACAAACAATACAAAAGAAACCAACAAACATTACAAACATTACAAAATAACAAACATTACAAACATTGCAAACAAACATTACAAACATTACAAACAAACATTACAAACAGTACAAAGCATACTACACGTACAGAATATCACTACTAACAATACAGATTGGTAAACTTGTATTACAAACAAATGAATACAAAGTATACAAATCATAACATAAAAGTATACAAACATTACAAACATTGCAAACAAACATTACAAACATTACAAACAAACAAATGAATACAAAGTATACAAATCATAACATAAAAGTATACAAACATTACAAAATAACAAACATGACAAACAAACATTACAATGTATACAAAATAGTAATATAAACATTACAAACATCACGAACTCAATACTGTTGCCGGAAAATCATCCACCACCGTCTCTGGTCGCCGGAAACTGCTCCGCCGTCGCCGGAAAAGTTGACTCTCTCTCTCTCTCTCTCTCTCTCTCTCTCTCTCTCTCTCTCTCTCTCTCTCTCTCTCTCTCTCTCTCTCTCTCTCTCTCTCTCTATTGAGAAGAAAATTCCCCCTGGGACGGGAATCCTTTCCCCGCAAAACCATTACTCCATTAGGCATTAGCCTCTCTCTCTCTCCTCCCTTTCCCCGCAAAATCATTGCCCTCTCTCTCTCCTCTTTCTCTCGGCCAGGATTAAAAATCCCACCGCCGACAAATTGTACCACCACCGGCTGGAATGCTCCCGGAAACGGACCGGCCGCGGGAGAGCCGTGGCAATTTTTTATTTTGTTTAATTGATAAATAAATAAATTGTATAATTACTAGCATGCCCTTCATTAAACTAGATAAATCTGTACCATTAGATTTTAATGAGGTTCAATGGTTGAGATTGGCTTAGTCATGTGACTAAGGGACCCCCCCTTAGTCACCTGATCTTAGCCCGATGTCCAGATGCATGCTCAACTGGACTCTAATCAGAAATAACTTGAATATTTAGCTTATATTTAAATATTTAAATATAATATTTAGCTTATACTTGAATACAGAAATAACATCATCATCCATATTTAAATAAAATACAAATTTACAAATAATCATATTTAAATACATATTTTAAAATTAAATTAACTAAAATGACATCATTTTAGTTATGGATGGAAATTGGTCATACTTGTCAGACCATCAATTTTTCCTATTGACCATATCTGGCCGATTTTGAAGATCACTTTATATTGAAAATATCCCAATCGATTTATTTTCCGATATTGATTGAATTTTGTTATACTGACCAACATATCACCAGTTTAACCTATCCACGTGCCCCCCAAAAAAATTATTTCCTGCTAACTTACGTGGCAAGTGAGTTGGACTTTGACTAACGGTCAAACTCGCCTCCGGGCCAAATATATATGCTACATAGTTCATGACAGGATAACAATTTCTGATACCACGAGACAAAGTAGAAAATTTGTCTATAGTTCGGACCAAACTAAGATATTAACCCGTTGTTTTTTTATGTTACATTCAATTTATTATTACTAACACTCCAGATCAATTTTGGCCGGTTCTATGGTACACAACAGGGCATCAAACTTGTATGATCAGATCTCCATCCTTAGTTTTAAATGGATCGGATCTCCATCCTTAATAGAAGTACTGTACGGGAATAACAAAGAAGCGTACTGACTTAGCAAGGACCTGTAAACCCTGTCAGAACCAGCAATTTGATGATAACCTTTTACAGCCTAATCCATTCAGTCGCCTGCCAACCTTTGGCCATACTATGCAGTAGTAGTCAGCCAGCAGAAGCAGCCACTAATCCCCTTTCTGACGCGATCGTCTTGCTCCAGTACTGGCGCATGCCACGCAGAAACACACCGATAATCCAATCACATAGCCTGTCACTGCGCCGTATGTAACACATATCGGCCATTCCTGCGATAAAACGAATCCAAACTGCATTACTAGCAAACTGACAAATTGGGTGTTCATGATAATGTAGAAAGTTAAACTGATCAGTGTAGCACATAAAACCATATTAGTTACAAGTATTCACAACAAACTCGGGATTGCTCAACATGCAGCCAACATTTAGAGACAAGGAAATGCAGACACAAAAGTTTACCTGCCATGGCCTTTCCCAATCAAGTGGCATAGGCCAAGCTCCCAACCAAGCTCCAATCGCCGCGCCATGTGCAGGTATGCAAAGCATGTATTCCAATAAATCATTTGGCCTGCCCCCAAAATATCTCTCATCAACTCATAATAAATTAGAGAACATTTGGTTTGATCATGTGATACAAGAAGGTTCAGTTCCATGCCTAAATGCATAGTATATGTACATTCGGCTAAGACCCTAGGCTAGAAGATGAACAGTAAAGTGCATTGGAAGATTACTCTGTACGTGCAAATATGCGTTGCCAGTCTCTCCACGATGAACCAAATACAGAAGCTACAGGGACAATCTGAACTCATGTATTGTTAGAAAGTTCTGTGGGGCATAAAAGTTTTGCAAGGCTAAAATAAAAAGCCAAACCCATTGATGTCATGTTAATGTTCTTTTTGTTCATAGACGCAGCGCAAATATACAAAATCCCTCGCAATGATATTACCAAACTGGTCATAGCATTTGGAATTCAATTCACCATATAGTTCACAGGTTGAACAAAATCTAAGGGAAAATTCTTCAGAACATCACTTAACAGAG